TGCGTTAGCGTTATTTTTAACTTAATGCTAATCCGACACCCCTAGTTCGCTGTGATGCATCGATTCGATTTCGGCACAGAGTAATAATTATTTTTTAATTTTTTTGGGAGAAAAGTAAACAGATTTTGACGCGTTTATGCCATCATCGCATCCAAACGCAGCAGAGCTCGAAAACGCGTCCTAATCTATATTCAACATACACGAGTTTGCACGCGTTTTAGTTTTCGAACGTGTTCACATGCCTGAAATTGTTGTATTTTTGACACGTTCAAACGCACATTCTGATGTTAACCAGTTGGGATGCTGTTAGATTTGAAACGAGAGAAGATGCGTATGACCACTCTACCTGTGTTCAGTCCCCCGAAAATGGTGCATTCTGGATGCGTTCCAACGTGTCCAGTTGCATAAGTTACGACGCTCAGAGACGCGTTCAAGGTCTAAAAATGGTTACATGGGCAACCATTCTTACTCTATTTTCCAGAGAATTATCTTTAGCAAACGTTTCATAATAATATCGAAGAATACAAAACTATCGACAATGATTTAAAAAGCGCTGTACTTTGTCGGCGCAGTTTTCACGTTACTAAAACAACCTATTTCTACCTTTGAAACTGTTAATTTTCAACATTCGTAGCCGATTAACAATGAATGCAACCATTATGCAGTGTACAATGTCAGTTTGATTTTGAAAGCTATTTCCGATTTTAATTCACAAATCTATAGTAAAGATAGCGAGCGTTTCCACTTGAGGTGTGGTCAGTCAACCCACACCGACACCCTAATTTGCTATCTCTTGATTCTGATGAACTTGCTGATATTGAATTGTTTGATGGGGGAGATTGCTTTTCAGTCGCCTCTTGTCTAAGGTGTTTATTTGGATTGCGGTTGTTGTTGTTGTTATTTAATGTTATTTGTGAGGTTTGTATCGAGGGGTTTGTTGGTTGAAGAGTTTTGGAGTTTTTCTTCAGAAAGGGGGTTTATATTTGTTGTTAATGAATCATTGATCTTTTTCGTCACTTTTAAATGATGAATAGGGTGAAGAGAACGACGAAAAGATAAGAGAGGATAAAAGAAAGAGAAAGAATCGTGAAATATAGGAGTGTGAATATATGAATGTATGAGAGATGTAAAGAAGATATGCATCCGATCACTATCGATGCAAACTAACGAATGACACTAAACAATATAGAAAATATATATATGAATGATAAATTAATGCAAACAAACGTGAATGCGATGTCAGAAAATAGAGGAGTGAATAAAGTTGATTATTCAATATTTATTGTTTTCAAATGATCATATAGAGTGGAACGGATGGACTCTACTGTAGTTTATATGGATATTCAGATGTTTAGCTTTGTTGATAAAAACGCACCCAATCGATTTCCATTCGACGAGGAAATATATTATTATCGATGCCGTGTGCACTACCCCTGAAGAAAACATAAATATGTGTCACTTTTTGATTTATTTGAGAAGCTAATGATAATTTTCCCTGATTCAACATCATATTGACCTGTTGAATAATAGTTCTTTCTCCGTTAAAATTCTTTTTAGTATTATCTCAAGAAACATCTCTGTTTCTTTTGTTGACCAATTCAAAACAATCGATGAGATAAACTAATTCTATGATCTCATCTAAATATCTGACATTTTATTCGTAGTCTCAAAATTAGTATTCTGAACGACTATTGTTGTTTTAAAATGAAGTAAAAACAATCTATTTTTCGGCCTATCTATGTACTACACAAAATATTCAAATTGTTGACATGTCACCAAACCTAAGACTCAAATTTTGAAAATATTTTTACACCACTATTAGCTTACTCACCAATTACCACCCACAGCAAGATTCATAATAATAAAGAATGGTTTATCGAACGGCCTAAAACATGTACAAATTCTTTCTCGTTTTATTCATTTCAACTAGTTTCGTAGCGCAATTCGTTATCTTACCATTGTGTCCAATCACCTTCTTTATTCCATGTAAATATATGATTAGCGAATGGATTAGCATCGTCACCAGCGTACATTTCAATTTTATTAGGATTCCAATTGAGAGTGTAAATTTTAAAATTTGAAACAGCATCACTAACAATAATGGAAAGACCTTTTTGAGTGCCTTTCATGTGATTATATGCCTGTGTATGCACAGTTGAATGAATACGTAGTGGATCATAGCCAACTTGTTCCATCAAGTCTATTTCGCCGTTATCTGGCCAATAGACACTGCTGTGTGTTGCCTTTTCGGGTAACTATCGTGAATAATAGATATAAAACCCGAAAGAAAAGAACATTCAATAGACAGTTACCATCCAAAGAGCTGACCATAGACCACGACCGTCAGGTAGTTTGGCACGAATTTGCAAACGACCATAAGTCCATTTGACCTTGCTCTTGAGGCGAGCCGACATAAATTCACAGTTTTTCATTTGTTCCTTAGAAAACATATGTATGAAAGACAAATTTACTAGAATTACGTTTTCTATGCTTACTCGACGTGCTTCAATAATGAGACGACCATTACTGCTACCTGGAAATAGCTCACAACGTGTATTTTCTTGGCGATTATTTGTGTAAAATTGTTTCTCATTATTACCTAGATTTGCAGTGTATTTACATAATAAATATGAATATGATAGCGATTGAATAAAGTAAAATATATTTACCCCAACCATGTCCACCGACATCAAATTCCCACTTTGTAGGATCGATTCCACCGTTCCAATTGAAATTATCTTCCCATACAAGAGTCCAATCGGAGCTACTAGTCGACTCTAAAGCCCAATATATATATATATTAATCAGCAACAATTCTATACATTTGAATATTTTTATTTATTTGGTCTTCGTCTCATCGAACATTATTTGTATATGCATAGAACAACAAAAGATGTAATAATCGAGTTAGTTTTATTACGCTAAAGAAATCAAACATACATTTTGATTCTATTGTTCTGTATCTGTTATATTAAGCAGTATAAAGAGACTGTTTAGATAACAAAAGAAAAAATGAAGCTCCATTTTTTATTGTGTTATTTTCTACTGCATTATCATAATTCGTCGTTTGAAAAAACATGACTCTTTTTCTCATTCTTCCTATGTCAGTAGTAGGAATCATTATTACCCAGGAGAGAGGGAGACAAGAGACGAATGGTTGCCTGTCCCACGGCTAATTTTCAACAGTCGAGATAATATACCAATTCTGGCAGATGTCAATCGTCTTATAGAACAATGATAGCACCTACAGTATATACTGTTCTCACGAATCATTTCATAAGATTCTAGGGATTGATAACGATCCTCTGAAGTTTTCAAGAGTATCAAGATATTGCAAATGCAAGAACAAACAAACTAAATAAACATTCATGGAACGAACATGTTTCTGGAATATTATTGTTCTCTGAAATAGATCAACACTGTCTCTTGATATCCAAATCATTTATGATACTAAGGTTTACAATGATGAAACCAAAAAGCAAGTCTGTTTTGCTATTTGAATAATTATTAGAATCGTATGTCTTACCTACTACACCACAGACCATCACTGGATCCTCGGTTGAAAAAGCATCACTTTTAGAAACTGTACCCGATTTCATCCAACAAGTACCACCATTGTATTGAGTCCATGTAAAATGGGTGCATCCTGGAGTTCTCGTGCATGTTTCACCACAAAGTTCTCCAGAAGTTCGAGCGTCTGAAAGATCTCTTCCAGAGAAATCACACGACATAGCCCAATTCTTTCCATTTCAATTGATGAGACCATTGACAGAATGAAGAGGCAGAATATTTATTGTGATAAATCCAATCACGGTGAAATGAAATAGAATATTGATCATTTTGTATTTCACTCAAAATTTATAAGTCAATTATGAAAATAAGATTTCTTTTTCCAATTAGTCACATATATTCTTTCAATCTAATGAGTGTGAGTGTAGCGTATCAGTCTACATTAACATGCTGCACCCACACCCTTAGTCATACTTATTCATCCTCGTGAAGTAGCGAAAGTATTTCAACTAGACTTTGAGATACTGCTAGACCACACGAAGCTTTTCATCTTCAGTTTGATGGGCATGAATCTTTTACTATATATTAATAGTTTGATACTCATTTTGTAATTAACTAAATGTGATGCATAACATTCGAAAAGAGAGAAAACAAACTAATTTTATGAGACGTATAGGAATAATGAACAAATTGAAGCCCTTTCAAATAATAAGTACATAAGTGCGGCATGTGAATCCAGAAGACCATGATCTAACAAATGTGATTCGATCGATCTTCTATAAAAACAAGTTGATATGAAGACCGATTTCATACCTGTATCAATCTTATTCGGCTTGTCCAAATATAACGCTGTGACATAAAAAAAACCCTGAGTTTAAAACGTTCTGACTGATCTTTCAATTTGCTTCGAATCACGGTCTTCTATTAAAATAGGCCTGGAACCAACATTGTAAAGCATGAAACAAGCTTTCCAATGGTAAAAAATTTTCCTCTAGCTCCTACTATGCACATACAAAATGACAAAAGAAAACGTAAAACTGTGACACTTTTTTGTCGACCAAATTTGAAGCACTTAACATACTTAGAAATATTTAATTTTTATGTATATTGATTGTTGCTGTACATATATCATTCTATAAAAAAATCAAGTTACTACGTCAAAACGAGAGTTCATTAACTGTACAGTAGATTAGAAACTATATATGAACTTAGAAGTTGCCTTGAGGAATGAGAGCAAAAAGTAAATAGGCCATTTTGTAGAGAATTAAATTCTGCATCAAACGGTACGTCACTCGGCATTTTTTTAAAAAACTTTCTTAGTTAGAAAATTCAAAATACTATTTCTGAAAATTTTAAACTCCGGTTTTCAATGCCAAAACTCGATTGTTTTTAAGAAAAAAGATCAGGTTCGTAATCAGCACAAAAAACCTGCACCAGAAAATGCGTTTAGATTTGTCCATATCGAAAAAAAAATTTTTGAAAAACTTCATCAGCGAAGAGTTGTGTTACGTGCAGAAGCCGTATTAAATGCGAATATCATATGAGTGATATGTATGAATAGTTTCACAGACTTATTTCTGATTTTCATGTTATCATTTTAATAAAATACTCACCACAGTGAATTAATTAATAGCGAGTGTGTTAAAAAAAAAGTATATTAAGAGCTTGTAAAAATTGTTTAGTATGTAATACTATTTGTTTTTTTTCAATTGAATAATTTCTGTTTTTATACCTATGCAGTAAAGCAAATTTATTCATCATATACTGTTTGGGTGTATGGTTTTGTTCCGAGTATTTTTTTTCTCGCCCACCTTACTATTTGCTATGGTATATGGGTTTTTCTCTATTACTTTTCTTGGTTTACATACTTTTTAATGCATCGATTTAGCCAAAATGCACATACATAATTATGCAAAATAAAATATGTGGAGATGACTGAATGCTTGCATGATTTGTATAGAATATGAATATTGCATACGAAATAAAATTAAAAACACAAACAGAGGTTGAGAAAGAATTATTCATGAAGACTAAATTACCATATTTCATATTCACATAAGTATACATAAATAAAAAGCAAGAAACTAAATAATTGTATTGATTACTCTTATATACAGTTGATGTTACAGTACTAGAAACTTACGTTGTCATACCATCATTTATTTTTAAGTTTCCATTGTGCGAAGATATCTAATTTACTAATTTTTTTGCCGATAAGGAGACTGAATATTTAACAATATCATATATAATTTAGTGTTAACAATAAATACACACATAAACTTATAAATGTACGTATCTTCAAATGTTTTGTAATATCATATGTTGAATATAAACTACATAATTATAAGTGTTGTAAATTAAATTTGAATAGAGCTAAATTCATGCAAACTTTTGGGTGTGGCTGTAGGTGAGGGTGAGTGTGAGTGTGGACTTTTCTTTTATGAGACCCACACCCACCCAAATCTTGCAACAAAATAATTTACATTTATAATAAATATAAATTTTTCATAATTTATACTTATTATAAATTAAACGGTAAATGACATCTCTATTTAGAACAGAAAAAAAAATAAGAATAGGCTTTTTAACTATTTCAACATTATTTAAAATATATATTATTCATCCGTTTTGATCATTATCAAACCTATTCATCAAATTAGTAAAATATTATTTTCTTTATCGAATAAATCTTTCGAGATTTGTTTACATTCATGTTGCAAAAAAGTGAAGAAAAATCTCTAGAAGCATATCAAATATTAGAAGAATGTCATTGTTAAATGTTCTGCATAGAAATAGATTAATGAAAATCTTCAATTTTCTCTGAGAGTTTTCGTTTTAGTTCTAATCTTATGTCGAAAATATGCCAATAATTGAATATAATAAATACTAATATATTCCATTCTTACCAAATTGACATTATTTATTAAACAAAAAGAATGAAATTATATTTTTTCTATACCAGTAGAAAAAATTTATGTATAATCACTTGGTTTAATGTATTTTACACTATCCTCGCAGTTGAAGCTGAATCTATGATCATATTCGACATGATTCATTGGATCAACGATGAATCAACACACTACTAACGAATAGATGTTATTTTATGGCAGAAAACTAATTTAACAATTTGTTAACATGAGAAACAAACTTAATCACAACATAAATCATCAACATCAATCATTAATATAAAGAGAATTCTCACATACAAATAAGTGTTAAATTTTGTTACTATAGACATTATTTTATCTATAGAAAACGAAATTCTCATATTATATATAAATCATCGAATTGGAGTTCGAACAAGTTTATAGACAAATCTCAGATCGAATTATTCGAATCGGTTACTAGTTTGACTTAAGTAGAATTTTGTGACGATAAACTTCTATTGATGTGAATTATTTGTTCCGATAAATATAATTCTAATTCCTAAAAATATTTTTCAAGATCATTAAAAACAAAAGTTCTATTGTTTTAGATTTTGATAGAGACGTCGAAATCCCAAATACATTTGAATATCTAGAAAATAAAATGGTACAGTTTGGATCAAATGATGAAATTGAATTTAATTTGTGATGTAAAAAGGCGATTTCGATAAATATTCTTTTATGCTATTAGAATTTTTATTCCTAATTGAATAATTTTACAAATCAAAGAAACACATGCAACGGTAAATACATTATAAACATTAGAAATAAAATTATTTACTACATGAAACAAGTTTTTTTTTTCATATTTGTTTTTGATATTTTATACAATGGTGGAGTCAGAATTTTTGGCTAGGAGGATTCAACCTCCAAGTATTTGTCGGCCGTCCGAGGTAGTATGAAAGCTATTTTTCAGTTTATCCGATGTACAAGGAATTTTCTAATGAATCGTTTGTGATATATATGATCCTTAAAGGATGTTTCGCTAGACTAACAACTATAGTTATAAATTGATGGGAACAATACCCTTTGCCGACGAAATAGCTAATGAAAACTTTTTCAATATTTCACCCGCATCCTCAATAACCCAAAACGAATGTTTGGATCTTTCATTTCGTTTTAGTCTCATTAGAAAACTCTTTGATCTTTATTAGTGATCACTGAAACAATTTTAAACACAAAATATTGGTAAAATTTAAGTTATTCAAAAACATGATGATCTTTTCAAAATTGAATGGATTTATTATTTACTCGTGTTTTTCTTAGTGGTTTTTTCGTTATGCGATAGATCTTAGATATTTTCCTTTTATTCATGTCATACTTATTTTCATTGATTTCCACTTGAAATCAAAGTTATTTTTAAATTCGCTTGTGGATCTATCCGTAGCTATGTGTTTGAGTAAGTCGCTGTTTAATGAGCTGAGAAAAATCTACTAAGTTACGAAAACTTCTAGCTGTCATTCGCCATTATCAACAAAAAACAAAAAATATTTACATATTCTACTGCCTTCCTCAATAGCGATGTTTTCTGGTACACTCGTCGATCTCTCCACCGGCTTACACCTATAATAACTAATGAAAACAACGGAAGCCTTTCTTATTTAATGTAAAAAATAACAATCATCAAACGAAGATAAGAAAATACTTATTTTAACATAAGTTAATTCATGTTACAATATTAGCTACAAAGGCAGTAGCAACATCTTCAAAATCAATTTTAAAATTACGTTATATTGATAAAAAACATAAATAACCGAAATATTATATTATTCCTTATGTGTCTATCATTTATTTTAAATATTTATATTATTTCAAAAAATAGAAATTCACCATAAGAATACATAGCTTGCTGATTGAGAGATTTTATCCTATAGATAATATAATCTCAGAGCTGATTATAGCTCAATCAAACCGAGATAATCGTATCAGAATACCTGATAGCAAGCACTAAGTGCTAAGCAGTACAAATCAATCAAATAAAAATATGAAAACTTTGCTTTCTCTGAACAAAATTGAATTTTTATTAGAAAAAATTCATTTTTGAAAAATTCCATCAGAAGAGTTTTAAGGTTTCAAGAGAAAGCTGAGCTTCCTCTGTCTCCATCACTGCTCATAACCATTAAAACTTGATTGAAACTTATATTGACTGAATTTTCTTTTCTTCATACACACATCAACCCCACAAAAGAAGATATGTCTTATAATGTTTCATTGCAAAGATTAATACATTTTTCTGTCAGAAAAAAGAACATATCGTTAAAAAATCTCACCATAGAGGACTCAAAGGTTCGTAGAGTGAGCTCAGCTCCCCCTGAATCCACCAACACTTATATAGAACAAAAAAAGTCCTTAATCGAAAATGTGTAACTGAGAGTAGAGTTTTTATTATTTTATATTTGGTTTTGTGACGCAGCGTATTGCATCATCACGACTCAATATTTGTTATCTCTCACATGAATCTAAAGCCCATATATATATATATCATTAAACAAAGATAAAAAATTGCTTACAATAAAAATTCACCAATGATGAAGTTGTTTGGTATATTTGTTCTCGTTTTTTTACTTGATAAAGGAAATTTTATTGAATGTTTACGATGCGCATATGACTGTCCTTTTGTTGCTTTTCCATTGAATGTGTCAATACCCATAAATGTATGTAAACATCAAGAACGAGATAATGCACAATGTTCGGTAATTTTAGTAATTGATTTTGAAAGTCAGCTTGTTTCTGGTGTATTAAATATAGAAAATCGTTATGCTATTGCTTCTCTCAAAACTGAAACAAAATTTAAGTTAAAATCAAATTCTGTTATTTCAACAATATGGTACACATGTACAATGTCAGATTTTTGTGATTTTGAATTTATTAATGAATTACTAACTAATAAATTAGCTCAAATCAATGCAACATCTCTTCAACAAAAATTAATTGATTTTCTTTATACTCCAATACCTAGTCAAATAAATATTCAATGTTCTAATAGATTATGTTCATGGAATAGTTTTTGTCAATCAGATTTTCGAAATATATTTACACCACAATATAATTATACGTATATTGATGGAACATTACCATGTATTCAAATTTCACAAAATGATCAATTTATAAAAATTACTCAACAATATTTACCTTCGGCTGTTCAATTATCAGAAATGAATATGCGATGCAATGTTAAACAATGTAATACTGACAATATTGTATCAGAAGTTTATACATTGATTCAGAATGAATTCACTCTACTACTTAATTATTCAATTTTAAATCTTAACACAACTTTTACGACAACAACATCACCATCTGCTGCTTCATTATTAATACTATCAAAATATTTTTTTATTTTTTTATCTATTATTATTTTGTTTGCTTAACAAAAAAAAAATATTATAAAATAATTTTATTTTATATTAAAGTTTAAAATAAATTATATTTTAATATATAAAAATCTTTCTTTTGTTCTATTCAACAAAATAAATAAAAATAATGAAAGAATCTTTTTGTACGTTGGCATAAATACTTTGAAGGAAATTCAGATTTTATTCTTCATCATTTATAATATCATGCAAAGCTAATCGTTAAAAATAAAAGTTTGAAGCTTTTTCAGGATATCACTAAGAGCTCTCATCACCAGTTTCATCACTGATTATGAGATTTATCAGATCGATTTCATTTCGATATTCAGTAAGATCGACTAAACATTTAGATTTTGTGAAAATGATGATACAGAAATATCTGATAAGAAAAATCAAACTCCTCTATTACATCCAACTTGAAAATTAGTTGTAATAATAGCCATTAATTACCACGATGAATTCGTTGATATTAGAATTAATTTTTAAGTTGGATCTAATAAGAGATAAATGTTTACTCTTTCGATGAGAATCTCTCAAATTGAAGCCATTTTATGAATCCTTTAAACCAGAATGAAACTGATCTTACCAGCTCGTATTTACCCTAAAATATTTTTTTTTCTGGGGACTGAAAATAATCAGTTTAGAAAGATTCGTTGGTCAGGGTGTGGGTGTACATGAA